GAAGGATTCCAACCCACGTTTTATGCACAGGGCCTCACCAATTTGGCTATCACGACATTAGATGTCCGGAGTTCAAATATAAGATTCAGTTATAGAATTCAAACAAACAGCCATACAGTTTACTAAAAATATTTTAGACATAACCGAAAACAATAATTTGACGTTAGCAATGTTCCTGGACTCAAAGGCATACGATTCATTAAATCAGAGTATGTATTAAGAAAACTGGAAATATATGAATTAAGAAAAAAGCTAGTATATTAACAAATAAAATTAGTATAGCTCAAGAAAGTGTAAGGATTAATTTAAATTATTTATCCAACATAATTCAAAATAGGCTGGAAAGTATTGTAAATGTTGCTGTTGGTACAAATCTGTTAACAAGCGGATCAGAGAAGAACGAACTTTTAGAACGGGTAAAGACCTTTTTAATAGAACAGAAAAATGGTTTTGTGACGGCTCACCCCCTGCCCCCTCTTTATTTTTTTTTTTTTTAGTTCATTATTTTACTCTCAAATGTTATTATTTACCTCATAAATTTTACTTTAAATTCTATACTTACTGTAATTGGCCTTTTTTCTTCTAGTAGTAAAGTGATCGTCTAGTTAATTAATAATTTATATACCCACGTTGTGATAATGTTAATTAAGGTAAACCAGGATTCGATGCAAAGTTTGGTGCAAATTGATAAATAAAACATACAAATTCATATTTAAACTCTTTTTATTTTTCATACTTTAACTGTGACGACCAACGGAGTTAACGAACAGCGTCAATTCGCCAGTTGATTAACTACTGTATTGATGTTTATATTCTAATTTAGGTTGATGACCAACGAAGTTAATAAACAGCGCCAATTCGCCAGTTGGTTAACTATTGTGTTGTTGTTGATTTGATTCTATTTTAGATATACACAGGTTGCACCCTCTTAGGTACTGGCGAATGGACTTAGTATCCGTAGCCAAGGGAAACCTAAATTTATTCACACACACACACACACACACCCTCTTAGGTAAATTACCTTACTATGTTGATTTCACATATACTTTGTTTAAAACCTAGTAAAACGGGTTGCTTAGCGTATCGGTGTCCCCCCTTGAGCTAACGAACAGCGTATTCGTCAGTTGGTTAACTTACTATTAAACTTTACCATCTTGGTTTGTACAATTTATCCAAGATAGCCCATCCTTGTATATTTCTAAAATATTGAGTTTTATAATTTCTATTGAAATACTTAAAATTTCACCCATCGAAACAGATGTCTACCCTAACTGTCTTTCGGGGTGTATGACCTGAAGGCCATGTGGTTTATTGATTAAATTGATAATATTTTGTAGCAAATGTCAAGCCGCCTTTAAACGAAACCCCGTTGGTATCTCAAAAAAAGTTACATAAATCTTTTGACTCACCATTGAAAATACAGATATTAGATTATGTACTAATTTCATCTAGCGTTGTGACGGCATCGATTTAGGTACGTCGCAGCGTTGAGCACCGAGGCGCCTAGCGTCGTGGTGGAAAGGAAGGTATTTAATACGGTACTGTATTGGGACAGATATACGGTAGAATTATATACGTGGTGCGGGACGTGATTAAGGAAATAGAGAGTTGAAGTGTTTCCAGTACGTTAACGTAAACGTGAACGTCAACGCACAAAAATAATGTTTACGGTATAGTCCAAAATATGAGTTGAAGTTGTTAAACGCATCATGACATTTACGTAGCATGACAGATAATGACAATTATTATTAGGATTTTTTCTTTCCCAGGTTATTTTATTTGCGTTACGTGCATACGCCAGAGCCCGCAAGCTTACGTATGTACGTAGACGTAAACGTGAAGGATATTTAAATGCGCATGCGTCGATGTCAATTTTCACGTATACGTTTACGTTCATAGCATTACTTCAACTCTCTAATATTTAGGGACGGCAAGCATCGGAAATAACGCGTGGGACGTTGAGCATCGAAATGAGTGTACAGTAGGAAATACTTAGATGGTGAGAAATGTGACAGCGTTCGAGGCGTAGGGAATATGACGGCAGGACGTTGGGCGTCGAAACGTTGACACCTTTGGGGATAGGAGGTATTGTAGAATAGACGTCGTTTAGGAAGAGCGTTTTAGGAAAGGTACTGACTACTGAACTTAAAATATAACTGGGTACAAATAATAAATGAATGCTTGCACATTAAATAATAAAAATGAATGAATGCATGCACATCAAATAATTAAAAATGAATGAATCCGAGCTCATTTGGATCTGGCTTTTTATAATAAAGTTTAATGGCTTTTGTGATGTCTCTATGTCTTTAGTTCTCATCGAAATACTGTGGGTGCAGGAGGTGGCTTATTTATTATGTGCGTTGAACGTTCTGTGTATCGAAATATTGTTGAAATCGGTCTTAACATTGAAACTAGCAAGATAAGCGAGTCAAGTGTTTTAATGATAGTTACTTCGTGAAAAGAAATATGTTTTCTTGGGCTGGTTCTCCGAGACACGTGCACGAAATTTGGATATATTACGGATGTGGTTATAGCTATTATTTATTAGGTGTCCTAAATAAGATTTAATTATCTGGCAGATTTTGAATTTAATAAGAATGCAATAATGTACTTAATAAATGGAATTAATAAATTATTAAGGTACCTGGGTACGGTAGGTTACAGTTTGAACAAAATATATTAATTTTAAGTGCAAAGAAAACTTACATTGCTGTTTTTAGTATAGATAAAAGCAGAAAACTAACCATTATGCTTTTAACGTCGAGATTTTGAAATATACAAAATTCTTAGGTAACTTTATAGATAATTCTTTAAAATAGAAGAATGTACAGAATTTACAGCATACAAACTCAACACCTTTAGTTTTGCAATAAGAGCGTAAGTAAATAATATATGAATGAAAAAACTTTAAAAACGTATCATGCAAATTTTGAGAGAGACAATCAAAAAATGAAAAATTTCTTCATATTTAATGTAGATAATTTTATTTAGTTATTTACATGTGGCATTTCAATTAAAATATAATAACGATGGCCTGCTATGATAAATTTATAGTGACCTTTTGGAAACATTTTTTTAAATTATGATTTCGTTATGAATTCTGCCGGGAAAGGCGAATTTAATACTGGAAGCAATTTCTATTTTATTCAATTTTCAACTTGATCGGTCTTCAAGTAAGTTATAATAATATGTAATACAATACATACAAATTATTCATACATTTTAAACTTTGATATTAAAAATTAATGCTATTTTGTATCCTCCTTGACAAAGTAAAATAAATCTTAGTGCTTTCTGGAAAGAAAACATTTTATGAACATATAAACTACTTCAAAGATTATCTTGTATCTTCTGAAAAATAGCAATGAAATGAATTGAACTTGTGGAATGATTATATTGTAAATATTAGGTTTACTCATCAAAACTAATGTCATTACTCTGGTTTTTGGGAAAGAGGTGGAAAGACATCATTCGAGAAGTGTTGGAACATTGATCCACACAACATTTCCAGCAACCACTAAAGCAATTAACAAATTAAAAAAGTACACACTTAGGGGTTTTTGTAAATATTTATGCATGTAACAACAGAACATAATACATAAAAACAATGATAAATACATCTATTCACTGCACACCTACCTTTTAACTTTACTTTTCATCATTTTCTTTGTGTTTCTAAGTTAGTATTTTGAAAATAAATGCAAAAAATAATTCAAAAACAAAACCAGAGATTGTAACCTCAATTTGTTTACAAATTTTGACATGACTCATGACTAAGAAAAAGAAGACTCTGGGACCTGGCACTAAGTAGATAGAGATGGTGAAAAACTGAGCCCATACAACTAAAGAAGAAGGCAAGAAAAAAAGAAGAAATTTACGCTGACGCCGCCGTAACTTTAGACAGATTGCCAAAATAATAATTTACAGTTTTCTTTTTATTTTATTAGTTGTTATGTCAACTTATAGATGGCGTAAAGATCTTCCAATGACCTTGCAACTTCAAGATGTCTTCCGTTGAAATCATCTATTATAATTATCACATACTGGATCAGAAAATTCAAGTTGTTTCACCGACGTTGTTCCACCGATATTGTCCAAAAGCTATAGAATAGTTTATTCGATTTTTTAAAGAGGACGACTACAAAAGAGTCTAAATTCAGAGAAAAAAAGTTATGCTAAAAATAATAGGTAAATTTAAAAATGCCTGTTTGTAGAAAATATTTATGGCATATATCATTTTGGAGATTATTAAAAGATATAAAATTCAAAAACTTTAAAAACATGTTGAAAGTTTATTAATGAGAAGTTTGTTAATCTAGAACAAATCAGAAGGTTAGGATTTGAATGTCATTTTGACATTATAATTATAAACTTTATTAGATCATATTGAGGCTAATTCCAGAATTATAAGGTATCAAAAACATAATAAACAGCATACATTTGCTGATATTTTAATATTTAGGTCGTAATATTTAGGTCCATATTTTAATGTTTGACTTATCTTCTGAAAATCTTAGCCTTATATCGATGGTGAAGGATCAATATGTCCTATCTAAAAAATTGATACTTTTCAGGAGGAAGAAAAACTGCCTCTTTGATAAAGTATTAACGGAGAAAGTTAGAAAAAAAACACGTCAATAATATTTTTTTAATTTGTTTTTATTAAAAATAACAGTTTACCAAATATTATTCTAAATAATACTTTTGAAAGATTGAACAAATTAAAATAAAGGACCTACTGCAATTCAAAATAATACTATCTGATATTCTAAATAGTTACAAATTATAAAATTTCAACACAGGACATTTCTACTTTGCTTAATTTTATTATATTAAGTAATTAGTGATCGTCTACTTATGTTTAAAACAAAAAATTCAACATTTTGCTGGTAAAAAAAGAATAAAGAATGCACCATTGCAAAAGTTTTGCTCTAAATTATATATAGCAAATTGTCATAAAAATGATGTGAATCACCTGGAATGACAGATTTTAATTCCTATATGTGTTGCCACTTTGATTTTGGATTTGTACACCTTTGCGTGAACAAATTAGGATAGTTTTCAGTCGGAGGAAACTTTTTAGATCTTATGGGTAAATCAGATAATTCTAAATTTGAATGATCCACCCTGATAACCCCCATTGGATCATAATCAATAACCCTGATATCCATAACTACTACCGAATCTTTTGATACTCTACCTGGTCGTATCGATGAATATCTCAAAGGCGTTGAATAGTTTTTAAACAAACTATACTCGCAGTTTACTGCTTCATATGGAGCTGGGTTTTTCCTAGCTTCTCTGGTAATAGTAATATAATCACATGGAAGCTTGATTTCCCTATTTTTTAATTTTCTTTCAACACAAGCGTGCACTGAATCCACCTACATTTGCGTATGCCCAACTTCTAAAAACTTTTGAACTATTTTGATGTTATGTCATGATAAAGTTTAGCAAAGCGTTGGACATAACACAATTTCTATTTTGTGTCGTGCATCCATCCGAATATATGGTAACAGGTTTTTATCATCAGTGAGACAGTTTTTTATAAGGTAGGTAATCTATAAGACAATACATAAAAGTGGAGGCTACCAGTAACAAGTAGCGTGTTTTGTAGCTACGTTGTACACTGATATTATGGCAGCATAATTTTGTTTTATAATAAAATGCATTTCCATAAGTGAACGGTGCAAATTTTACGTCTAAACATCAATTTCCAATTCGATCTGATTGCCAAGTTCTCATTCGTTTTTATCTTTTTCTTTTGCAGATCTAGCTGTATTTTTTTGTTAATATAATATAACCAAATATTTTCCTCAATATTTCCACTTTTGTAGCTTGAACAAGTATTATCTTGGTCTTTTTTTGTGGGAAAAATAGAAATATTTTTCTTGGCAATCATTGCACTAAATGTGGTCCTGCTTACAGATCCAACTGCTTCTTCTTTACACTTAGTAAGGTAGAATTTATACACGTCCATAATAGTATGAAATGTAGGTTCCAAATACAACTTGGAAGAGCTTTTTCGAGCAAAGTGTGAAGGCATTTTCGGGAGATTAATTAAAAAACTGTTTAGAAAGTTCCAGGTTGTCTAGTAGTTTTTGATCAGTTTTGTATCGGTTCCGACCTGGAGCTTGAGGCATTTGAAAAGAACTTTGTTTAACCCAATGTTGTACAATTCGATACCTAATTCCTAGTGTATCTAAAAACATTTGCCGGCAAACCTGTAATTGCTCTTGACCATTATTCAAATGGTATTGTAACGTTTGGGTACGTCTTGAGTCATCTCGATTAACTGTATTTCTTTTTTTATGTTCTTTACATGTGCTGCAACAAAAGCTTGTCTTTGTTCCAGAAATTTTTGAAATTTCTAGTATTCTCTGAAAACTCGGAACAAAACCTAACTTTTGATTTTCTACACACTTCTTTTCCACAAGTGGGTTTTATGTGACTAGCATGTTTGTATTGTTACTGTTCATATTTTCCCGTGTTCCCTTTTACAAATCTTATATAAGGTTTTCTTTCCATTCGGAGTTTCTTATTTCTGTTTCGTTTCCATTGAGTAGGATCGGCCAACTTTCTTCTTTTTTGCCCCTCGTTGATGTTATGATTATTTGGAGCAAGATCGGTTACGGGATCTGATTCATGACTTTCGGAAAAATATTCAGATTCATCAGTATGGCTATCATGAATTGGTTTATATTCTGATCCACCAGTTGATGAATTTTCATCAAGTATTTGATCAGAGTTTAGTTCAGTGTTTGAAGTTTGAAGTCCTGCAATAATTGAATTCTGATCTGAAAAGTTTTCCACTTCAACTTTGTTAGTAATGTTTTGAAGAATATATTGTCCTACTGTATTCGGAGGAAGTATTATTGGTACATTCTGACTAGTAACAGATTCCCCTGCAACAGTTCTCAAAGTGACTATTTCGGTATTGTTGAAATTATCAGTTGCCTAAAAAATAGGACACAATAAAAATACAAGAATTTTCTTGAAGTATATGAGTACCTTACTCATCGTAGACTTTGGCGATGAATGCTCACCTGTTGATAATACTGACTGTCTAGCTAACTCACAAAGTTTGTGTCCTCTCCCGACTGGAAACATGGTTTTAATCAATAATAAGTTAGTAATCAAAATACCTACCTACTTATCAGTTAATTATTAGCAAGTATAATTTCTGGCGAAACGAAATGTCCTATCTGCTAATAAAAATTTTTGTAAGCTTTCAATTGTAAATGTACCTACAGCTTATTTGGAAATAATTGCAGGTATATTGTTTTCATAAACAAATACAAAGTTTTTTTGTTAAAAAAACAATAAAACTTCCACAAACCACCAACACGTGCTTTACTATGGCGGGTAAAACACTAAACACACACATAGGCTAATTTGCTTGCAGATTTGCTGTCGCTGACGATAGTACAAATTTAAATTAGATTGTATAAAGCGACGTTGTCGATTTGCCACAAAAGTATTGACTAATTATGATAGATTTATTTATTCTTAATAAACTGGTAACAACATCGCAATTTGAATAAAAAGGTAGATAGGACATATTGATCCTTCACCATCGATATGTCAAAAGTTGAAGTACGAACAGCAAAACGTTATTCATGTATAACTTTTTTGAAAGCACTTTACTTTTTTCAAATACGAACAGCAGGCAAGTATTTATAAAATTATGTTTTGGTAAGAAATTACTGACATCTAGGCAACCAATATTACTACTTTCTTACTACTTTATTGTTGATTACTTATGAATAACTTTATTCTTTTACTGAGAAAGAGAAAATGATATTCATTTATTTATTCTCAAAGACTTATTTTAGGTTGTTTATATTGATTGTTAAAGTTATTTAGATTTTAAGAAAGTGGGTTATTTTGTCATGCATTGTGTTTTAATTATTAATTAATTAATTAATTAAATAAGGAACTAACAACATTATTACTAAGTTGTAAGTTAAACCAAATTCTATTTTTATAAGTCAACCTGCAATTTGTTGATATAAAATTTCAATATTAATGTATAATATTGATTTTAAAACCATAAAATGTTTATTTTCATTTGTTTTCTTTTTGCAACTGGTGACATAATGAATTTGGTTAAACTTACAACCTAATATTAATGTTGTTTAGTTCCTTATTTTCCTAACATTAACAAACAATAAGTCGTTGGAAATAAATGAATATGATTTTCTATTTGTCAATAAAAGAATAAAGTTACCTAATCGTAAGCAACCAACAATACAAGAAAGTAGTAATATTGGTTACCTAGATGTCAGTAATTTTTTTCCAAAACACAATTTTGTAAATAATCTAGTAAAATTAGAAAACATATTGTATGAATCACGTTACGAAATGCCGTTTTATGTAACTTGTTCATGTTGCGGGACCTCTCTCTGCTCGTCCTGTAAATATTTACTAATTACATCAAATAAGGCATTTCGAAACTGGTTTCATAAATAGCTATTTGTTGACATCATTTTATCTAATGTTTGTATGTACCTCTTAAATATTATTTAAAAAATAAATAAGAAAAACACCCGACCACCTAGAAGAGGATCTACATACGTCGAGATGTATCCCTAGAGCAGGCCTGCACAACACACGGCCCGCGGGCAGCGGCCGCCATTGTCGTTTTCTTGGCCCTTTGTCAGTTGACGAATTTGGCCCGTCTACATCAAACTATACATTTTTCAGTAACAAAATTGCATTTAGGTATTAATTGCCTTTTTTAGAAACTCGATAGAAGGACCTGGTTCATTATAAGCTGATACTTTTTTTTTCACAAGCTCGACAAAAGGACTTGGTTTATAAAATTATAAGGGAAGACTTTTTTTTTAGAATCTGAACAGACCACCAAGCTCGGGACTTTCTTTGCCCTCGTACACTTACGGTTTTGGAACTGGCCCTTTGAAAATCTCAGTTGTGCAGGCCTGCCCTAGACGATGCTGACAATTTGTTTTGGTCATTCCCCCCGTTTTGTGCATTTAAATGAATTTTAGTTTTAGATAAAAAATGGGAAACAACTGTTTTATTTTTGGTTATTTAAACAATCAGGATTCAGAAAAGATCGCATTCTACAAGTAAGATATCTTTTCTTTAATCATGACATTTTTTAGACTTCAAACTTCGAGTTAGTTTTGGTAGAAAATGAAATATGTCGTAGTACAATGACAAAGCTAAACAAATTGGAGTTATGAGTGGTCGGTCCTTAAGTAATTGTACATAGAAGTATTGTAGATTTTTGACTTCAAAATATTACGACTTGAGTTAACTTGCTTTAATAAGATATTGATAATAAGACAGAAAATTCAACGTAAAATTTTAAAATTATTTTTTCATCGAATTTTAGAATTAAGCTCAGAGCTTGGAAATATTAGTGCAGCAGGCGGGTGTCAAGAATTATTTTGAAGGCTAAATGTTCTTGTTTTAATAATTTATAACTGTCATAGTTTTTAATTTAATAAGCAAAAAGATGCCGATACATAATAATTTCACGATTATGGAAATGAGAGCTTTGATTTCTACTTACTGCCAAAAATATTTTAAATCCTTATAATAAAAAATTCAAAATAAACAATTTTCTTAATATTTTTAAATTGTAAATAAATATCAGATTTTGGAAGTTATTTGTTAGGGTGGCTAAATTGCAATTTTTATTTTCTTCTTTTATATTTTTAAACATTAAATGAAGTCACTGAAAGCATATTTGAAAAAATTAACCTGATGTATTTCTTGAAGTTATTAAAACAGAAATACAAAGGTGGAAAAACAAGTGAGACAATGACATTACAAATAGTACAAAATATAATACAGCTTTAAATACCCTTTCTGTAAGCAATAAGAACGTTTGTACTAATGTTTATAGGTATCTTGCTTTAACTATTACTACAGCTGAATCAGAATAGTAGTTTGTGCAACAAGAGTGAGTATTGTCGTGTAAGACATTTTCAACCCGTTTGTTCCGGCTCTAGTTCCTTAAGTCTCTCTCTGCCTTATTTAGGCCTCTTACGTCCTCCCCTTCTCCGATTACCAAAAATATTCAATACAATAAGTCAACCTCCGAACCCCCCCCTTATCCACCACCTATTTTAGAAGTCAATGTCTACCGACATTGACTTCTAAAATTTGGAGAATGATCTCAAAATTTAAATTTTTGGCCAAAGAACTTACTTTGGTCCAATGTAAGAAATGGTGGAGAGTGCCTAGTATTTTCGGGAATAATTTTGGTGAAGGTATCGCTGCCGTAGCATGTTCTGGTGAATGCGCGAACAATTTGAGAACCTCCTATATAAATAGGCCACGTTTGATGTTATAGACAGTTGAAGTTGAGGGATCGTTTTGTGTACATTATTATTTTTAATATAAATTAGTATAGGGGGATTCATAACTATTGGGACATAGGCTGAGGGCTGGTTATTTGGATCAAACTATGGCGATAGGACCAAATATACCTCAATAAAATATTGCCGTGGAATAAGATACAGGGCGTTAAAGTTTTTTTTTTCGATTTTTCTGATAATGTCACTGTATATTTATGAATAGTTATCAAAATCGGCACAGAAAAATATATTTGGACAAGGAATATTATTTTATGTATTATTTTACATTTTGTTACAGGGGATGCTACGCAGTGTTGCCAGAATATATTTGTGTAATGTACCAGATTTATCTAAAAAATGTGTTAGATTTCATAAAAATGTACTAGATTCTATAAAATTACCAAATTTTTCTAAATATGAAGTATGGTCATTAAAGAGCAAAAAAAGGTTTATAGAGAACACGAACACAACAATTTTAAACAATATTTTATCTCTCGACAAATTTCTAACACTATTTCATCTCTCGAGCAATTTTTAAAAAAGATTTTAATACCTTTTGATAATATTTTATCTCTCGAACAGTTTTTAAAAAAACCTTGAGCTATTTTTAAAAAATATGTTCTCTCGATAAATTTCTAACAGTATTCTCTCTCTCGAGCAATTTTTAACAAGTTTTTTTATCCCTCGAGCAATGTTTGTACAATTTGAACACTATTTAATCACTCGAGCAATTTTTAACAGCCTTTTTTACCTTTCAAGCTATTTTTGAACAATATTTGATGTCTCGTGTAATTTTTGAGTAAAATTTTAAAAAAAGATTTAACACCTTTTGATAATATTTTATCTCTCGAACAGTTTTTAAACAATTTAAAACAAATTTCTAACAGTATTCTATCTCTCGAGCAAATTTAAACAACTTTTTTATCCCTCGAGAAATGTTTGTACAAATTTTTTTTGTACAATTTTTAACACTATTTAATCACTCAAGCAATTTTTAACAGCTTTTGTACCTTTCAAGCTATTTTTGAACAATATTTGATCTCTCGTGCAATTTTTGAGCAAAATTTTTATAATTTCTAACACTATTTTAAAATTTTTATTAACATTTTTTACCTTTCTAACAATTTTTAAACAATATTTTAAATCTCGAGAAATGTTTAACAGTATTTTTAATCCTCGAGTAATTTTTGAATAATATTTTAATAACTTATGATTCTATTTTATCTCTCGAACAGTTTTTAAACCTTTTTTCATCTCTTGAGCTATATTTAAACAATATTTTATCTTTCGATAAATTTCTAACATTATTTTATCTCTCGAGCAATTTTTAACAACTTTTTTATCTCTTTAGCAAACTGCTCAATATTTTAACTCTCGATAAATTTTTAACAATGTTTTATATCTCGAGCAATGTTTGTACAATATTTTATCTCTCGAGCATTTTCTAATAGTATTTTATCGTTCGAGGAATTTTTAAACAATGTTTTATCTCTCGAGAAATTTCTAATAGTATATATCTCTTGTGTCAATTTTGAACAATATTTTATTTTTTAACAAATTTTTCAATAGTATTTTATCCGTCGAGCCATTTTTAAACAATATTTGTCTCTCGTGCAATTTTTTAAACAATGTTTTATCTCTCGAGAAATGTCTAATATTTTATCTCTGAAATAATTTTTAACAATATTTTAATTTCTCTTGCAATTTTTGACCAATATATTTTACACTTCAAATGGAAACATACGCTGAAAAAAGTACTAGATTTTGTTTCGAGTGTAC